TGTCTTGAGATCCGGCCCACAGCGGAGGTGCCTGTCTTCCCCCCAGTTGCAAGGTATCCCGTCTTCTGCACTGGCTCCCTCGGGGGCCCAGCCCTAGCTGACTGCCTATAATATTTTATAGCTTAGCTGCCTATAGCAGTATTAGGCTTAACCTCCCAAAGGATTAGTAACAGGTGAAATTCTGGCACTCCCCCACACTTATTTGTGGATGGTGATTTCAAATTAATAGACCTATGTGGAAGAAGGGATTTGGGAGGTTTATCAATCTTACCGCATTCTTTCAGTTTAGGAGTAGAAAACCTGAGAATCATGTGAGAGTTCTGTCTCTTCCTCCCTTCCCTCTCCTCTCTTTTCTTTCCTTTTGTGTTGGGAAATGAAGCCGAGCCTCACACGTGCTAGGCAAGTATTCTGCCACCTCCAGCCTCTCCCCCTCTTGATGCGCACACACACAGACACACACACACACACACACACACACACACACGCAGACCTAAGTCTGGTGCAGAGTCATTGCTTATAGAAAGTGTCTGACTTCAAGGAAAAGGGGCAAGGGGCTCACAGCAAAGACATGGGATTCCTGGTCCTTTCACGTGTCTGTTTCTCGGTTTCATGGCTGTGGGATAATTCGTGCTTCCTTGGAGAACCACTCAGGAGCTCATATTCGGTTTTGGTTTTTAGTGAGATCTCACACGTTTGCGCACACTAGCCTCGAACTCAAGATCCTGTGTCAGTCTCCCAAGTGATGGGATTACAAACGTGTGCCTGGCTGATTAGATACAGTATTTTTAACCGAAATTTAAGTAAACTCTGAAACAAACCAAGGGCTTGTGTATGACTCAGCTCCTGGCCCTCCTTGCAGGGATGCTCAGTAACTAAGTTTTGGGCCACAGTGTGATGAGAGTATAAACTGGACACAAAGCCCAGGCGGCACCTCTCACTCTGAGCGGTCTCAACCTGACCAGAGGCCTGGGGATGCGGATCTGTGGCGGAGCATTTGCCCAGCGTGTCCAAGGACCAGGTTCCATCCCCAGCACCACCAGAAAAGCAAATGACCACGAAAACTGACCCGGACAGACTCCAGCATCACAGGCCAAGCGGTAAAATCAGGGACTACAGAACTAAGTGCTTTGTTGAATCGCACAGGTTTTAAATGTCACAGGATCTCTGGTGAGAGAGTTAAATGAAAATTGAGGTTTTTGGAAAGTGGAATTTTAGCAGGTCTCAGAATGAGTGGTGGTAAGAATTTTAATATGTGGAACCAGACATGGTGGTGCACGCCTGTAATCCCAGCACTCAGGAGGCTGAGGCAGGAGGATTGCTGTGAGTTCGAGGCCAGCGTGGACTACATAGTGAGTTCAAGGTCAACCTGCACTATACAGCAAGACCCTGTCTCAAAGAACAAAACAAAACGGAATCTTAATATGTGGAGAATAGCAGGCTTTTTCAGGTCCCAAACAGCAGGGAAGTTTGGAGAGGTCTCCTGAAACATGAGACCGTATCTGGGTGCAGAGGCACACACCTGGAATCCCAGCATTCAGGAGGCTGAGGCAGGAGGATTGCAAGTGCAGGGCCAATCTGGGCTACATAGCAAGACCCCATTTTAGCAAGAGTGGGAGCTGAGGACGTGAGGCTGAGGTGCTCTGCCGTCTTGTTTCTCAACCTGAGCACCAGGCAGGCCCCAGGCCACAGCACCCCAGCGCTGGTTCGTTGTTATTATCTAATGAAACATCAGTGAGACCAGCAAAAACGCAGTCTACCCTTGGTGGCCTTTGAGGGTCAGTTCCAGGACTCCTTCCCCCTCAGATTCCCAGCCCTGCTGCTCCTCAGACCCTGATACAAAGAGCACAGCATCTGCCTGTAACCTGCGCGCCTCCTCCTGTGTACTTTCAACCCTCCCCAGTTTGCTTACAGCACACTACACCGTGTAAATGCCATGCAAATAGTCGTCACGCTGAGCTTCTTAGGGAATAACAAGGGAGAAAAGTGTGTGCGTGTTAAATAGATACACACTTAAAAAACACTTTTAATCTGTGGTTGATTGAATCTGAAATACAGACCCCGCAGAGAGGGAGGGCTGACTACAAATGAATATAATTATATCATTGAAAATCCAAAATAATTAAAACTAGTTCATTATAAGCAAAATCATAAATCAGTGATACTGTAGTCAATAAGATGCAGTGTTACTGAAACTAAAGGGTCAGTTTGGCCAGCTATGGTGGCTCATGCCTGTAATCCCAGCATCCTGGGAGGCTGAGGCAGGTGGATTGATTGTCCAGCCTGGAAAACTTAGCAAGAGCCTGCCTCAAAATTTAAAAAAAAAAAAAAAAAAAACTAGGGATGTAGCACCTTGTCAAGGCCCTGTGTTCAATCATTAGTACTGTGAGAAGGAAAGAAAGAAAAGAAGAAAATTATTTTGACCAGTTGTTCATAAGTGAAATTGGCAAAAAAATTCCCCTTGCATGTTGTACTGTGCCTGTCTGAGAAGCCACCGCAGAGCTGGCGTGCACGCAGAAGCAGGCCGTGAGGCGCTGAGTTCCAGACTGTGGAACCGAGAGTCGATGCTGGGCTCATCCTTCGCTGTCCTCAATTCTGGCACTGAGTCAACCTTGCACAGCGCAGCAGGAAGGGTTCGACTCTCACGTGCACACAGGTCAAGCAGGGCTGCCTCGCGTCTTTCTCCAGTATCCTATAAGAATGAAATTATTACATGATTCAACTGCACATTATTATTACTGCTTTAGAGGTGAGAGACCAAAGTCTCCATTTACAAACAAAAGAAAACAAAAAACAGAACTAGTCTCACTCTATAATTTGTTCCCGTAGTGTTGGAGGTGGGACCCAAGGCTTTATGCATGCTAGGTAAGATGAGATGCACTGAGATGCACCCCGACACCCTAAAGTGTCTTGTTGCTGCAAACGTGCAAGAGAAGTTGTATCTTTATTACTGACTTTAAAAGCAAATCAACCCAAGTAGTATTTACCAGTGTTTATTGAGCACTTATTTTGTGCCAGGAGCTCTCCACAGTTTTTCACATGGTTGTTCTCCTGTAATTCTCACATTAGCCCTACAGTGTGGACACCATTTTCGATCCCTATTTTCAGAGGAAGATCTAGAGGTATAGAGAAATTAAATAATTTGTGCAAGGTCACATAGCCAGTGAATGCTGTAACCTGTAATTCAGGCATTTCATTCCAGAATCTGCTGCTCTGAAAAACAAAACAGTGTCAGAAAGTGTGGTGGGTATCATTTGGGCATTAGACTTGATGGCCTGACTACAGCCAGATCTTTGGGCACTACATTGAGGTTTGTTGTTTCTTCTTGCTGGGCGTGCAACCCAAGGCTTTACACATGCTAAACGCAGGCCTTACCTGTGAGTTACATCACCAGCTTAGACATTAAAAGTAAATTTTAACTTTAGGCAATCTCAGGGTGACATTAACATTTATATCACCTCTCAAAACATATTTAAAAAATAAGCATCTGCACGATGCTTCTAATAATGTAGGATATTTTCAGGGACTTGGAATAGAATGTGAAAGTTCTAGAACTCACAAATTCCCAGGATAAGGAGCACAAGGAGGGGTGTTCTAAAGGTCTCACGGGTGAGGGGCCCCAGACCCCAGAGGGTGGCATATAACTGGCAGCTGCTGTTAGAGTGCAAAGTGACAAGACACGGGCGGCCTGGGAGGAAACCGCCGTGCAGCCCTGGGCTGGCTCCAGGGAGGCCGCTGCAGGTCTCTCACGGGACAGTGGTGCCTCAGAACCTGGGGCTGCTCACTTTAACCTGAATCACCAAAGCCAGCTCCCAGCAGGAACTGCCAGGTCCACGGAAGGAAACCAGCTGCACCTGTTACCTCTGGTAGCCCCCCCACTCTAGCTGTGTCAACATACAGTTGCATTCAGCAGTGGGAAGGTAGGAAAGGCCAAATGAAGTGCTTTATCAAACATTTCTATTTTACATGGGCAAGGGAAAAAAATTAAATGCCAAGAAAATTTTGAATTATTAAATAGAGTGTGTCACTCCTATTGTTCTGATACTATTTCTTTTCTGTGTAGGTGTACAGCACTGGAGGTTGAATCCAGGGCCTTCACACTGAGCTGTATCCCTAGCCCTTTTTATTGTTTTAATTTTAAAACAGGGTCTCACTAAGTGCCCAGGTGTTGCTTAAGCTAGCAATACTCCTGCCTCAACTTCCTAAAATGTTGGGATTACAGCCATGCACCGCCGTAGCCAGCTCTCTTCTATCTTACATGCATATGTATAAGGTTTATATGTTAAAACTTGTTATTAATAACAAGATTGCTTCTTCAAATGCTTGATGCGTTAAAATGAATGTTACCTCTTAAACTGTCTACATTATTTTAGTCACATTTTTCAAGTTGTAAACACAGAATATAAACAAATTTAGCCACTTGCAAATGCTTCCCTTACTATTCATCAAATAATAGCTTACAGCAACTTTAACATTTTATAAATTTATAAAACTGTGATTCAGCACATTTTCCTTTAAAGTAGAGTCCCACAACCTGAAATTAGATGTCACTCAACCTTTAAACTTGGAACACTGTATAAACTTTAAAGAAGAAACTCTTCTTTATTGGCTCTATGAAATCCAAGCAAAGAGTAAGACAAAAGTGATTATAATGGAAAATCTTTCCCTTGATGAACAGGAGGTAAAAATGGAAACTTCTACAAAAGGACTGAATCTCCACAGTCCTTCAGAGACTGAGTCAGAATCAAAAAACCAGTTCTTTTTTTTTTTTTTTTTTTTCGTTTTTCTCCCGTACCGAGAACCGAACTCACGACCTTGCGCTTGCCAGGCAGGCACTTTGCTGCTGAGCTAAATCCCCAGCCCCAAAAATCCAGTTCTGATGAAATTTAATGAATATTGTTCCTAATCTTCTCCTTTTGAGCCATGAAAGGACAATATCTGAAAGACGATAGGAATTGTTGACACGATGCCGCTGACGGCACTTTTGTTCCTGTCCCTTGTAGGTGCTGACGGCCACCCACCCCCTGCTGAGGAAGGGATTTGACAGAACATGCGGGTTCTTCAAGGCAGAATAATTGCAGAAAATTGCCAGAGGTATTTTTATCAAATTTTTATCTCCTAACTAATTATGCCAAGGCCACCTGAGCACTCTCTGTAACTTGAAGGGGGGACGTTTCACAGATGGAGAATAGTAAGAACTAGCACAGGGGGTCGAGGGCCCTGTATGTTCCTGTGACACTCTCAGTCTTCTTGGCTGAGAGAGCTGAAGAAGGGCCTTAAGTGTGGCAGAGCCAAGTCAGGGCATCCATACTGCGGCGAGTCAGAACCACCGGGAAATGGCGGCCAGAGGGGAGCCAGTGGCAGGCCGGCCCTCCTCGGCACCCGAAGAGCAAAGCGCCCTTGCTCGCGCATCCCCATAGCTTCTTGGCCCCGCCTGGTGAACACTGATACCTAGCGCGTGGGGGACAGACCCACCTCAGCGATGCAGGCTGGGTTGCAAAAACATTCCTAGGAGTTGGGTTTGTATGAGTTTACACTCCGAAGAGTCTTTTCTCAAATGTCAGTGATACCCCAGCCAAAACAATGCAGTGGAAGCGGTTGAGTTCTTTTGGTTTCAAATTGCTGCTCTTTAACGTCATTGTCGTTTGCTGCTTTTCCTTCCAAACCTTGTGTTGGCCCAGGTTGGCTTGGGACCAGTCCTCTAATCACCAGAATGCTCATGACTCTCAGAAAACAAAGCAAAACAAAATAAAATCTTTACATCTGGCCTGAATTTCAGGTTTGTCTTCTGAGAGATTAGGCATTTTGTCTTTATTCTACTAAGGACAAGGGAGGAGGGGCAGCGGGTGGAGGCGTCTGGGCTGGGGTGAGTGCCCAGCATGGAGGCTTTGGCATCAGTGGGTCTCCTCTCACTCTCAGACCCTTGGCTGAACGGGGGCCTGATTACTACACTGTGTGCAGCTTGTCATCCAAAGCCAAATCAACAGTCAGGGGCTACAGGTCGAAAGCGGGGGCTCTCCTTACTTCAAGATTCCAGACAGGAGAAGAAAATATTCCAAAGCAGAAACTAAAAAAAGATGTATAAGTCCAGTGAATGGAAATGTGACTTCATTCGAATGCCTTATCTTCTTGAGTCAACGTGCCAGGCATTTCTTTGTGAATCTCTAGCCCATTGCATCAGCTCTTCTGTGGGAAAGAAAGAGGTTGAACTCTGGTAACTAGAGAAAAGCTGGAAGAACTTAATACTGGAGGCCTCCCTTTATTTTCCCAAGAGATCCCTACGGATCGGATTTCTTTAAGCATCTGCCTTAGCGTGCGTGTATGTGTGTGCGTGCCTATGCACGAGTGTGTCGTGAAAAGGTCATTTTCTGAGTGCTACGTTGTTTGTTATGTGGCCAGTAATCTTTCATTTCATACTTTTCTCTCATAATAGGAAATTTCGCCTCTTGATGCACCATATCCTTTTCATTTTTCAGCATATTCTTATTGAGAAAAAATAGAAACAAGTGTTTTCTGTAGTATTGGATCAGAGTCACTTGTCAAATTTAACACACAGGACACTTTTATTTCTTAAAAATCTGTGGGCTCCCTGTGAGCGCTGGCTCCGATCTGTTTTTTCCATCTTTGGGCTGGAAAATTCAAATTTAATGTCTGACTGGCTGCCGGCTTTGGAGACCTCTTTCCCTTCCCATCCAAGTCCGCACTTTGAGCTGGATTAGATAAGCAACTGAGTCACTTCCCACAGCCACATCTGTATTCACATGTCCGCAGTCTTCCCATCCAGTAAAGTTTTGTGGAAAGAGACAAGCCCTTTTAGTGTGTGTGGACAGTGAGGCTTGTAAAATAAGGGCCACTACACTGAGCCATATGGTTTCAGAATGTTGCCCCATGCCTTTTTCTTTTTTTTTTTTTTTTTTTTTTTTCAGGTGTTGAACTCAGGACCTTGCGCTTGCCAGGCAGGCGCTTCTTCTAAGCACCTCATAAATATTAATAAGTTTAATCGGCGTTAAGCACTCTATGAGTTAGAGTCTATTATTTTCCCCATCTTTTTTTTTTTTTTG